ATGATGTGAAAAAGTGATGATGTGGCAATAGCAATATGTAAAGTCATGGTATTCCTTCAGCCATATCTCCACATGAACTTATAATAATTATATTTTGAGATAGGAAAGTAGGTGCCATTATGAAGGCATAGGATAGCCTTTCCTAATGTGAAGACAACTTGTGCATAATGTCAAAAACTAATGCAGCAGCATTAGTAATATGTAAGTAAGATCATGTCAACCCTTCAACCTCACCCCCATAATCTGGACAGAGCCAAGAACACCATAAACTACATGTCAACTACAAACTTTTGTAGTCCCAAAAAGCGGACACTACAAACTTTTGTAGTCTCAGTCTGACTTTTGTAGTCTTTTGTGTATCAGTAAACATTGTAGTCTATGTCTGACTTTTGTAGTTATTTGTAGTGTATCAGTAAACTTTGTAGTCTATATCCAACTTTTGTAGTGTATCAGTAAACTTTGTAGTCTAAGTCTGACTTTTGTAGTCTATCAGTAAACCTTGTAGTCTAAGTCTGGCTATTAGTAAACTTTGTAGTCTATGTCTGACTTTTTGGTAGTTATGGTAGTCTATATCTGACTATTATAGTCTATCAGTGTCAATTTCTTTTCTAGGGCATGCATCTTCCTTTTTTGGTCATTTTTCCCATGATACAATAATTGTAGCCCTTTTTTTTATAGCTTTCCAAATATACTGAAATCATGTTGTTTGGTTTTGTTTTCATGGAGAAAAATGCAAAAAAAAAACACAAAAAAGAAGCAACACTTTTGAAAATATCTTTTACAATGGGAGCACTTCAGAACATAATTCAAACAGATTCGGGAAGCTATAGTGTAGGGCTACAACTTTCATTTTTGACCATTTTTGGTAATTGGTCATGTGACCAACATCCCAACATCCCATTATATGGACCCTGATAGGTAAAAACATTCTCCTCTTGGTTTTCTTCACTTTTGGTCAAACCAGGTGATGTTTCCTCTTTGGGATGGACCCTGAAATGGACCCTGAAGGCAGTGCCTGACATTCTGAGGGGGCAATGATAAATGCAGTAGGGTAGGTATGAAATAGCCCA